GGGCCCCATGTAATTAATCACAAGGGTCCTTAGAAGAGGGAGACGGAGACGTGCTGGGAGAACCAGAGGCCAGAGGGTCGGAGAGACGCAGAGACTCCATGCTGGCTTTGATGATGGAGGAAGGGGCCATAAGCCACGCAATGCTGGCAGCTGGAAAACCAGATTCTCCCCTAGGGCCTCCAGAGGGAGTGCGACCCTGCCATCACGTTGACCGTAGGGCTGCTTACCTCCAGAACTGCAAGATAATAAAAGGGTGTTGCTTTAAACCACTGTTGTTAGTAACCAGTTACAGCAACCACAGAAAATGAGCGTAGCTGCCACGGGAGCTGCAGGGGAGGGCCTGCTAGCAATGGAGGCTGGGCAGAGGCAGGAGGGGGCCCCAGAACAGCCAGCTTTAAAATTCTGCCGAGGCTGGGGAGTGCAGCAGCTGTAGTCAGGTAGGAATTTTTGGGTTCTCTACCTCTTCCTCCTCTGCTCGTTCTGACACAGAGGGGCCCTAAAAACCGAGGCTGGTGAGGTGGAAGAGGCAGCAAAGATGTGGTGCATAGGCGACACGAGAAAGAAGCAAGCCCTCCTTTCCAAATGCAAGCCTCCAGGAGGGAGAAGTGCAGCTTTAAAGTACATTCAAAGTTTTGACCGTCTCCAAAAACCGACATATCAGTAACTGAATTGAGACTGTGCATGTTGTCTGGGAGTCACTGAAAAGTCACAGGGGACATATAGCATGGCTGAGTCCACGCAAAGGAACACTGGGAGGTGAGGTCAAAGCCACGCCACGATGACACTGCCAAGTGAAGCCTGGTCCCCATAAGGGGCACATTCTCTGTTTCCTGGGGAGTGGGCCACAGCTTCCTTCAGCTTCTCAAAGGGGATTCTCATATCTGCTGAGGTTAAGAATTATGAATACAGGGCCGGGCGCGGTGGCTCACGCCTGTAATCCCAGCACTTTGGGAGGCTGAGGCGGGTGGATCACGAGGGTGGATCGAGACCATCCTGGTCAACAAGGTGAAACCCCGACTCTACTAAAAATACAAAAATTAGCTGGGCGTGGTGGTGCGCACCTGTAATCCCAGCTACTTGGGAGGCTGAGGCAGGAGAATTGCTTGAACCCAAGAGGCGAAGGTTGCAGTGAGCCAAGATCGCGCCATTGCACTCCAGCCTGGGTAACAAGAGCGAAACTCCGTCTCAAAAAAAAAAAGAATTATGAACAAGATTTGAGCTTGGGGAAGAGCTTGTATTCCAGCCTGCAAGGAAGTGGGGAGGGAATAACAAGAAGAAAAAGCAGAGGAGAAAAAAGGCAAGATCAAGAAGGCGTGGAGGACGTGGTGTTCTGCACACTGCTCACCTCCTCATGCAGGGCCAGGAGGAAAGTGGGCGACAGGAAGGGAACCCACGGGCCACCGGCGAGATCAGCCAAGAGGAAATGCTGCCAGTGCATTCTCGTGAAGGATCAACCACCTGCAGCCCCTGGCCCAGCGTCTTTGGTGCTGCCCTCTTGCCTTGCTAGCTGGGGCCTGAGGGAGCTGGCAAGGCATGTTTTAGGTGTGTGTCTGCCCAGTGAGGTTCGAGGTGAACACTGCCAGTTCTGCACAGCTGCAAAGCGCACATGGGAGGGAATCCATGGTCAGACCCCCACAGACATTGACAGGAGGGATTCTCTGTGAGCCCCACTGCCCTGCCCCACCGTGTGCTGGGTGCTTACATATACTATTCCTAGTCTTACAGCAACTCTGTAAGAGACGTGTAATAAGCATGTCTATGCCATGAACAGCCTAAATTAGACAGTAAAAAACAAAATTTCATAAATACTGTTCAGACAAGTTCACAATAATCCTACTACATATTAAGCACTTACTATGAGTCAGGTTCTGCTTCAATTAATAGTAGTCTGTGGCCAGTCATGAGAATTAGAGACCAAAACCATGGTGGCTTAAACACACTAGAGTTGAAATTATACTCTTATTTATATAAACTAGAAAATAAACTTTTCTATAAAAGAATTGGGATGGCAATATAGGAGTGGCACTGTAACGCCAAAAAGTGGCAAGGGCACAAGGCACCAAAGTCCTTTCATCTTTTTCTCTCCCATCCTCGGAACTGGCTTCTGTCCTCCAAATTACTTCATGTTCCAATACAGCTGCTGGAGCTCCAGCCATCATGTCCTGATTCCCAATGGCAAAAATGACTCCTTGCAACAGAGTCAGCAGTTTACAGAGTAAATTCCTCTGTCTCAAATAACAATTTCACTTAGATCTTGGTTATAAGACCACTCCCACTGCAAGGAAGGCTGGGAAATGCAGTCTTTATTGCAGGCAGTCCCATTCGCAAACAAAAATGCAGTTCTGTTCCTGAGGAGAATAAAATTGGGCAGTCTCTGCCATAGGCTCTTAATTATAAGAGGAACCCACTGAAAAGAGCATTGATTATCCCACTACAGCCACGCAGGGAGCTCAGGGCAGAGGCCAAACAGAACTCACACTAGGCTCCACTGATGCTCAGTTTCTCACCTTTTTCCACATTGCCTTTGTGCCACCAGACAAATTGAGGCCGTCCTGGAAGTGCAGACAGGAGGCCGAGACAGGGCCCTGCCACAGTGTTCACACTGCAGTGACACCAGACCACCCATCGAGAAGGCGTGCAGGACGTGCACTCCACTGCACTCCGAGGAGTGAACCCTGAGCTCCATATGTTTTGGGAGTGTGGGTGTCTGTGTGTGCAGGTGTGTGTGTGTCTGTGTGTGTACTGTGTCTGTGTGTTTCAGTGTCAGTGTATCTACATGTGAGTGTGTGTGTTATGTGTCTGTTTTAGTGTGAGTGTGGATATGTATGTGTAGGTATGTGTCTGTGTGTTGTGTGTCTGTTTCAGTGTGATTGTGGGTGTGTACATGTACGTGTGTGTGTCTGTGTGTGCTGTGTGTCTGTGTGTTTTAGTGTGAGTGTGAGTGTGTATGTGTAGGGGTGTGTGTGTGTGTTGTGTGTGTTTCAGTGTGAGCGTGGGTGTGTACATGTATGTGTGTGTGCTGTGTGTTTCAATGTGAGTGTGGGTATGTACATGTAAATATGTGTCTGTATGTGTGTTGTATGTCTGTGTGTTTCAGCATGAGTGTGGGTGTGTACATGTGAGTCTGTGTGTTTGTGTGTTTCAGTGTGAATGTGTGTGTGTATGTATAGCTATGTGTCTGTTGTGTGTCTGTCTTGGTGTGTGTATGTGTAGGTGTGTGTCTGTATGTGTTTTGTGCCTGTGTTTCAGAGTGACTGTGGTTGTGTACATGTAGGTGTGTGTGTAGTGTGTGTGTTTCAGTGTGAGTATGGTTGTGTATGTGTAGGTGTGTTTCTGTGTGTGTGTATTTGTGTTTCAGTGTGAGTGTGGTTGTGTATTTGTAGGTGCGTGTGTCTGTGTGTTTTGTGTCTGTGTTTCAGTGTGAGTGTGGTTGTGTACATGTAGATGTGTGTGTGTGTTTCCATGTGAGCATGGTTCTGTATGTGTAGGTGTGTGTCTGTGTGTGTTGTGTGTCTGTGTTTCAGTGTAAGCATGGTTGTGTATGTGTAGGTGTGTGTCTGTGTGTGTTGTGTGTCTGTGTTTCAGTGTAAGCATGGTTGTGTATGTGTAGGTGTGTGTCTGTGTGTGTGTTGTGTGTCTGTGTTTCAGTGTGAATGTGGTTGTGTACATGTAGGTGTGTGTGTACTGTGTTTCGGTGTGAGTGTGGTTGTGTACGTGTAGTGTGTGTGTTTCAGTGTCAGTGTGTTTGTGTATGTGTAGGTGCGTGTGTCTGTGTGTTGCGTGTCTGTGTTTCAGTGTGAGTGTGGTTGTGTACGTGTAGGTGTGTGTGTAGTGTGTCTGTTTCAATGCGAGTGTGGTTGTGTACATGTAGGTGTAGTGTGTGTGTTTCAGTGGCAGTGTGTTTGTGTGTGTGTAGGTGCGTGTGTCTGTGTGTGTCTGTGTGTTTCGATATGAGCATGGTTGTGTATGTGTAGATGTGTGTGTCTGTATGTTGTGTGTCTGTGTTTCCGTGTGTGAGTGTGACTGTGTGTGTGTAGGTATGTGTATGTGTTGCGTGTCTGTGTGTTAGGGTGTGAGTGTGGCTATGTGGCAAGCGTGTCTGTGAGGGGAGGCTGTGCAGGGGTGTCGGGAAAGAGGCCCTGGCTTCTGGGTTCCTGACCTCCCCTGGAGGCACATGAGGGGGACTCGAAACAGGCCTTGGGTGCGGTCAGGGCTCCTCCCTGGGTTCCCACACAGGAGCCATCACTGCCAATTTTTATATCACATCTTCCCAAATGACGTCATTTCAGGCCTCCTAAGAGTCGAACATAACTGCACCAAGCCGACACCTGCACTCTGTGCCGTGGGACAGGAGTGCCAGCCTCCACTCCCAGTGGCTTCTTCCTTCTCTACCTGGCTGCCAAGCCTGGACACTCCCATCGGTCCCCAGGATGGGACCCTTAGGAGACCTGAATGTGCACCAGATAGCCCCCTGTGTCTCACACCTGAAGCTTTCTCCCCACTGCCCTCTCCTCCAAAACATCCGAGCCCAGCCGAGGCCACTCCAGGACTTGGCAGCACTGGGGAATTACTGGGTCAGAGCTGACTCCCTCTCACTTCACACTGTTCTGCAGGGTGCCCCTGCTCCTTGGTCCTCTAAGGGAGAGGATCTTCCAGAACTCATCTCCAGGAGCCGGGCTGGGGTACAGCGGCTTCCAGCGCAGGCAGCCCCTCCCACAGTGCCCGTCCCCTACTGCCCACCTGCTCATGCTCCGGTGCTGGCATGCAGTCTCCCTGTGTCTCCAGCAGTTACCATCCCTCAGGACTCCCAGGGGCCCTGGCCTGGCTTCCACCAAGACAGTGCTGAGTCCACGGAGCCTGCGTGTTGCTGAGGGAGCAGCCCCCAAAGAGAAAATGTGTGTGTTAGCATGTGTGTGTGTGACATGAACTTGTGCAAAAACCATTGCACAGTCTCCTCTCGAGTTCAGCTGCTGAGGAAGGAGGAGGAGACAGGAGAGCTGTGGGTGTCCACCACCAGCTACTCTTAAATCCTGCCAGGGCAAGGAGGGTCAGTGTGGTTCGACTGGTCCCTCAGGGGTGCAGAGAGGACTCTTCCTGTTCCCTTGCAGCTGAGGGACGATGGCCGAGCTCTGGCAGGCCCTGCGGCTCCGGCTGGTCGTTCTGTTGACTCTGATGGCCCTCACCTACCAAGCAAGGAAGAAAACCTTTCTAAGTGTCCACGAAGTGACCGCAACAGAGGACTACGCAAAGGACAGCTTGCAGTGGATCACTGACCAGTATAACAAGGAAAGTGATGACAAGTACCACTTCAGGATCTTCCGAGTCCTGAAAATCCAGAAGCGGGTGAGTGTATGACGTCCCGACTTTCCCCAGGCCCGATGTGCCTATATCGGGTGACCACTGGTGTCAGGAAAAGTCCCACTCAAGGGAAATTCAGCCTCGCTTAGTTAGAAGTGAGCATTTCAACAGAAGCATAAATTCACTAGGGGGAATGAAGTTAAGGCACTTACATGAAACCCAGGACCAGCGGTCCTCAGCACTTTACATCCCAAGGACCAAATCTGCCTGCCGCCCACTTTTGTAAGTCATGTTCTTGTGACCCAGCCATGCGCGCGCGTGTGCTTGTCTGCCTCTGCTTACTCTGCCATGCTTATGCTGAACTGAGTAGTTGCAACAGAGGCCGCATGACCAACAACACCTAAAATGTTTACCAGGCAGCCCTTCACGGGAAAAGTTGACAGACCCCTGTCCAGAACCACTAGCGACACTTTGCGTTATCCTAGGGGTGGATTTGCCCATGGGAAAAGATTGTGTTTCTGATAGTTTCTGGTGAATTCTCTTTGAATGACAAAAACAATCACGAGTCAAAAAGAAAGGGGAGAGAGGAGCCCGCTAATCCGCCCAGGACCAGGTCCTTGCCCTTGGATTTGGAGGGTAACGGAGCTCACACGCACAGAAACCACAGAGAGGGCAGAAGGAGTCAGGCTGTGCCTCCCCACCCCCTGCCACCCACAGATAACGGACCACATGGAGTATCACCTGAATGTGGAAATGCAGCGGACCACCTGCCAAAAGCCAGAGACCACGAACTGTGTCCCCCAGGAAGGGGAGCTTTACAAGGTACTGGGTAAAAGCACTTTAACTGAGATGGAAGTCCTTTTCAGTGAGGTTTTTCTGTGGCTTTAGGAAGAATTAATGGGGATTTATTCAAGCTGGCTTGAAAACAATGCAGGGCTAACATCTCCTGTCTCAGAGAGGATAAAGCGAAGGGGGAGATGGCCAGGGTGCTGCCCCTTTGTTGCTGGAGGGACTGTGAGGAGGCTGAAAAGGTCCAGAGATTGGAGTTGAGGTGGCCAAGCTGCAGGGGTACACCCTGGGTGAAGGGGGCAGATAATTATTAACAGATGAGCAGCTGATGGGCGGGACCTGACAGGTGCTCTAGCTGAATACCTGAGCGCCAGCATGACAAGGCCGCGCAGGTGTGGGCTCCTGCCTCTCATTTCATCCAGTAGGAGAGGATGAGGAAACAAGTTCAGAAATGATCCGACTGGTGGGTGAGGGTGGGCGAGGGGGACAGACTTACACGCATGTGCTCTGCTGAGAAGCCACTGTCCCCGAAGGCAGCTCCAGCTCCCACGGGCTTTCTTCCCACCCGGCACCGGCCCATCCATGGGACGGTAAGCAGACCCCAACCCACACCTCCACCACCACAGTGTGCATGGGCAGAGTGGTCCCTGCATGCAAAGCGGCCTTGAAGATTGCCAATCCTACATGCCCCGCAGATCTCTTGACTTTACACAAACAAATGGACACAAGGATGCCTGGGTGTCCCACTCTGCCTGACATGACCCTGATCCATGCCTGACTTCTCAGTGCAGTCACTGATAGCATCCCCGTTTGGTTGATAAATTATATGATCATCTTAGTTATAATGGTCTGGGTGTTCTCAATACAGAAATGTGTCCCGCCCTGGGCTCCCTCTGTGCTTTCTACATGTATAATTCTTCAAGATCTAACAACCTAGGCTTTTTGTTTTTTTTCCTGGTGAAGATTGTGAAATCTGCAAAAAGAATAACTGAAGATAACAGTAAAGTAAAAAGAAAGACAATTTTTGACTTGAGAGATTGAATTAGTGGAGTGGGTATTCTGAATTTTATGTTAAAAGTAAACACTAAAGCCTAGCACCCCCGCCCCAGGCTTTCAGATGAAGAGCAGGAAAACAAAATTACACAAAGGAATTATAATTAATAACAGGCAAAATATGTTTAAAGTATATTTTTTATTATGGGAGAAGGAAACAAAAAAGAAAAGAGAAATTTGGGGGAAAATAGAGATGAGTGAAGGAACAGATGGATAAAGAAATGAAGTGAAGGTACAGG